CTTTTCTTTTCTTTTCTTTTCTTTTCTTTTCTTTTCTTTTCTTTTCTTTTCTTTTCTTTTCTTTTCTTTTCTTTTCTTTTCTTTTCTTTTCTTTTTGACTCTTTTCTTTTCTTTTCTTTTCTTTTCTTTTCTTTTCTTTTCCCCCCTAACTAATTGATATTGATCAATTGGCCCTCAGACTTCTCAGATGGTGCCCCCGTAAGGCCTTACCAGGCTCTTGACAAGCTCCAAATTTATTTCAGCAGTTGATATAGTTGGGCACTATCAGTAATTCCACTTTCATCATGCTTACGTCTTACACCACCTTTTACTCACTTGAGACAAAGCCTGCACGAAGCTAAAAATTGTCTTAAAAGTACAGATTCCTTCTGTTTTAATAGGGAGTAGTTAGCAACTTCGTAATTTGCAGCCAAAAAATGCATCCTGTGTATAATTATAAACATATAAAATTCCTAGGAGGGGAAGTGTTCTATATGAATTTATTCCTGTTTCCAGAACCAGGGAAAATAGTCTAAGTAATAGTAAGTAGCCCGTGTTGAGTATAGAAGACGGATTGTTCTGTAGTTGACTCAGGAAATGAGAGCACCATTAACCATTAACCATTAGAGCTTCCATTAACTAGCCCTGCCACCTTCAGCAAGCCAGCCCATCTCCCTGGGTCTCACTTTTATCTATAAACGATGGCTGCTCCTAGCGCTAATGCTGTCTGCTGCCAGTACCCTAAAATAATCAAGGTTTGCTGGTTGATTCTCCTTATGAATATTACATGCCTGCTGATTGATCTGCATCTGAGTAAGAGTTGCAACCCTGTTGCCATGGCGTGTGTGAAGGTGCTGTACTGGCGGTGGGTCTGGCTACTGACGGCCAAGCCAAGCTGACGTATCGACAGTGCGGAGGATTTACCATCCATCCATTACGTCAGTCTCTGACCGGTACTATAGAAATGAGCAGTACCGAAAGCCTGGGAAGTGCTCACCTGTCCCCAGGAGGCCGATCTAATGACTTCCCGGCCATTCTTGAAGAGAGTCAACTGCAAAACTTCCCATGTCATTTGATAATTTTATTTGCACATAAAATTTGACATTGATGGGCCAGTCCCGTGCTGCGGCAGTTAATGCACTGCTTCTGAGAGGCTGGATACCACATGGTGATGGTGGTTCAGATCCTCCCAGCCCAGGATGGACTGAAGCACACCAGGCATGCACATAGATTCCCAAGGTCCAGCAGGCTAGGGAACCGAAGGAAGGGGATTGCACCATGATCAGACCCTGGGGGAGGGGGACCCTCCTTTCTTTCCCACTCTTCACCCCAGATATACATTCTATCATGAATGAAAAAAAAGTATTAAAAATTTTAATATTGAGCTCTAGCATTTGTAACTTTAGAGTATAAATTTTAAAATAGGAAATTTGTACCTAAAATGTCTTCTCTTGATAGGGTAATAAATTTCTGGGGATGGCCGTGATCAAATACTATTTTTTTTCTTTTTAATTTTTGTCAGAAAGTGTGTGTGCTCACTGGAAAACAAAACAAAACAAACAAACAAACAAAAAAAAACCAGAGGAAAAAGAGAGAGCAAAAGAGAGACAAAGTGAAAGTGAAAAAGCAACCCCCAATAGCGTATGGTCACACCACGGTCCCTTCTCCATTTCTCCCTCGTGGGATCTTCAGCAGGCGCACGCACACATGCACACGCACACACACACACCCCTGGTGCATTTCTCCAGCTCCTGGGTCCAGGACTCAAACTACATAATTAACCGTGTAGGATCCAGTCACTTTAACCCTCCTGTCCCAGGCTGGCCCCAAGTATTCTCTTGTTTTTGTTTTTTGAGTTTTTTTTGTTTTGGTTTTAGTTTATTTTCTGGAAGACAGTGGGAAAGAGAAGCACCTCTGATAGGGTTCTCATGCCTCAGTTCACTCCTAGCCTCAGCCAAGCAGGATCACAGGCACACACTGTGTGCCTAGCAGGTACGGGGAGACCCTGGGCTGAGAACCCAGGACCCTCCCACGTGGCCTCAGCATTGTCGAGTGTAATCTTACTGCTGTGCCATCATGCCAGCCTTCTTTGGGGAACTTTTTGTGTAAAAGTCACATCTACCAAAAAGCACACAAACTCTATGTAAACAGCTTGATAACTAAACACAGCACAAACTTGTCCCTGCAACTGGCACACAGATCTAGGGACAGGACATTACCAGCCCATCCACAGTCCTGTCATCTTCCTTTCATCCCTGATGGAACTCGGACTTCTAACACCAAAAGCTAATCTTGCCCTTATTTGACCACTTATACAAATGGAGTCAGTTAGTGTCACCACGGTGTAGTCAGAATCAATTTCATTTAAAAAAAAAAAAGAAAGAAGGAAGAGAGGAGGGAAGGAAAGGAAGAAGAATGGAGGAAAGAAATAATTTTATATCCTAATACTAAGATGTAAAAACACTAACATATTTTAACCTCCAGAAACCAATGGGAAAAGCTAACGGCATGAATTTTTATATTTTAGAGCCTAGCAAGTTAGGCAAGAGCATATTAACCAAAGCAGAGTTTCCTGGCTTTGATAACTCTTACCTACTAGTTACTATAACTCTTACCTACTAGTTACCAATGCCTGGTGGGCAGGTGCCGAGAGCTGACCCTGTTCTGTGAACACCAGGAATCAGAAGTCTGTACTGTGTTATGTTGTAGCAAATTCATGTAAGCCCTGTAGCCACATGGGAGCATATAAGAGTTCAACAAGCCTTACTGTACAGCATCCATTCTCAAGGACTCAAAGGCTGCCCCTACCTCCAGGTGACATTTCATTTTTAAAAAAAAGGACCTGCATTAATCAATGTAAATACACACCTTAACATCGGTTCACTGAATTACTCTAATAGCAGAACGATACTCAGAAGGTTTGGCTCTTGACCTCTTAAGCTATGCAGTGTGCCAACCTGTAGTCATTGATTCTCTAGCCCACAGTTAAATGCCCCAGACCAGAGGAGCGACTGCAGAGGGAAGCACCAGAAAAAAAATGAATAGAAAAAGAGCGAATAAACCAACCACAAAAAGCAGATGAGCAACTGAGGACGTGTAATCTGGGTCCGCTCAGTGCTGGCGCAAATAGACATCCCCACCCCAAGGTCTCTGTACGCTTGGCAGGGCGTCAGGGGAAAGCTGGCTGTTCTTAACAAAGACAGCGACGCATCGAGGAACGGTTCATCCAAGTTCACTTGGCTTTCAGAGGTCAGGGAATTATGCAACCCATTTTAGAAAAAGTCTCATGAAAACAGGGTAAGAGTCAAAAAGCATTGATAACCTTGAAGAGAGTCAATTACTTATCTGGAAAATACATTGAGCCAAACACTATTTACCTAAGACCCAGGGAAAATCTGAAGTGACCGCTAAAGCTTCTGTGTGCAAACTTGCTTTTGTCCAATGATTCCCCCCATAGAAACTATTATTTATTACAAGTTCTCTTACACCACCTCCTTTTTTATTTATTATTATTATTATTTTTACCTTATCTCATAACTTACAGAGAACGTGATTTGGTGCTTGAAAACAGACTGACTGGAAATGATCTCTCACTTCTTTTTCTTTCTCTCCATCTTCCTCTCAGATGACGAAGTAATAGGAGTTAGCGTCAGTGTTCGTGACCGAGAAGACGTCGTCCAAGTCTGGAATGTAAATGCCTCTTTAGTGGGTGAAGCAACTGTTTTAGAAAAGATCTATGAACTTCTGCCCCACATATCTTTTAAAGCAGTATTTTATAAACGTAAGTGCTTCATTTCCAGTTATTACTTTCTAGTGTATTCTGTCATATGCTAACGATAGAAACGGTGTTGCGCATGAGGTGAAGGACAAATCACTTGAAAGTCTATCATTCAAAAACCAATCCAATAAAATACACTTCAGTGTTTTGTTTTTTTTTTAAAGTTCAGTCTCAGAAATTAAAATGAAATTTCATTCTTGTCTAGCTGCATGGACCAGAAAAGGAAATACCTATTATATATTATTTGTTTTCAGAAAGTTAAACCTGAACGTCAATTGGTCATCTCAGGAAAAAAAAAAAAAATTACATTCTATCGGAAACAACAATAACAAAAAATGCCATTCTATGAGCTGGCAGGTAGATCTTCAATCATCCCTTCATAAACAGGAATTTATAATGTATAACATCTGTATTTGTGGAGGAAACTCATTGTGCACACAGGCATGATTGAGTGTTCTACCGAAATGCTAATACATCCTCATTATGGATGACTGTGGCGCAGAACCGAGGGAGAATTTGCGCACGGCGGTGAAATGTTAACAGTATGAATAGGTGTGTGGACCCATTGTTTCCATCATGATTCATGTTCATTGCTTTTGTGTGCTCTTTTTGCAAAAGTCATCTTTTTCATAATGAAAACATCTTAGTGCTATTCAACCCATGTTTGGTAGAGATCAAACTGTAGGTTACACTGTTACCAATGAGTTAGGGACAGGATTGACAGCCCTATGCACATATGATAAATTTCCTGTACCCTAATCTGTCCCTAAAGTCAATAGCCTATTTTTTTAACTACTATATTTCATTGAATCTGAGATGCTCTCGATGATAAGATACCACATTATTTTAGCATGACTAAGAAAAATAAAATACTCCCAATTAAACTATGACACATTATTGATTCTAGAGGTCTTCAACTATGTGCGTGTGGTGCTGGTGGGGAGCGCATTCTAGAATTGCTGAAATATTCTTCATTATTGTTTTACTTTTCCCAACTCCCCTTGCCAAAAAAAGTAAAACATTAAATTTTGCTTCGTGATTGCCCTACTATGATAAAAGATATTAAAACTAAGGCTTCCCCATAAGGAATCATTACAAGCACAGGCCAAATGATGTAAATTTTAGGCATTAAGACTGATCTGGCATTGAGATATCCAGGAGATTCTGTTCTTCTGAATTTTCAGTGAAAGTTTCAATAACAGAGAAAAATGGCACTGCAGAAGTCGCTCATTCGCTATCTAGTATATGAACACTGCAAAATCAGTGGTGCAATTTTTATTCATTAGGGGTACATGGATTGTATTTTTACCCCAGATATTTCACTTAAAAGTCACTGAAGGTTTTTTCCTTTTTTTTTTTAACTCCACAAGATTACTTAGCAGAAACTCTACTTGGGAGAAAGTGTGTTTTATTGCCATTGGTGAACAAGGCTTAAAAAAAGTACCCTTTTGATGAGTTCCAAAATTGACTCAAAGGAGGAGAAAAGCAATTTGGAGTCATTTAGTCAGGCAATCTGGATTTTTGTCCCATTTCAACAGTGTGACTTTGAGCAAGTCACAACTTCTCATCTTTTTACTTTCTCATCTGAGTATCGAGGAGTTGGTCATAGATGATCTCTAAGGTTCCTTCTGCTTTAAAATTCTATGATTCCATTTTTAGGTAACATGTTATTAGTAGTAGGCTCAACACAGTGTGAGTGTTTTGTTATATATTTAAGCAACACAGTCGTCAGGCTAGTTTTAGGGAAATAACCAGGTAAGGCTGACCAAGGGCAGGATGATTCATGCTTGGCTGTTGTGATGGCTTGAGAGGAGAAAAAAAACAAACAAACAAGAAGAAAGAAAGTTGCATCTTGGCCAGTTGAACCAAGCTGAATAGACACCCTAAAGGTAGATGCCATTTTAAAGTTGTGAGTAATGCAGAACTGACTATTGGTCTCAGCAGAAATTTTAATGGCATAAATTAATAATTTTTTTAAATCAATGATTATTCAAAAATTGGAATTGGGGGAAAAAGGCAATTTTCTTTCTTTTATATAAAGCAGGCAGTCCTTTACTCAGCAGGGTTATGTACCACTTGCTGTAGACGTGATTTGGAAAAATTAAGTTTGTGCAGAAATCTTATTTACAGCATGATGGAAAATAGTCACACGGTGAGCCAAGTTAGAAATGACCAATTCATGCTTTTACTCTGTCTTGTTAATAGGATCCTGGTGTAAGTATTCACAAATTTACAGAAGCTATGGAATAGTAGATGTTCCATGTTGAATAAAACCTAAGCCTAGTGGGTCACAGACTCCAGCAGGCAGACAAAAATCCAGCCATTGATAAGTGATACATGATTTGAATACAGATTGATTATTTGACTGAGAAATTCAAAATACTCAGAAACACCGCACCCCTGACATTCTGTTAAGTTCTTCAGAACAGCTGAGTGACAAAGGTCTTTCCTGACGTGAGAATTGTTTAGAGCAGGAGATAGCAAACTACAAACCTTAAACCAAATCTGCCCATCTTTTGCCCTTCTCTCCCCACCTGTTTTTGAATAGGTGCAGCTGGGAATAGTGTTCACACATTTAAATGGGGGGGAAAAAAGCCAAAGAACTACTGTATTTTGGGCCATATAAAAATTGTATGAATGTCAAATCTCAGCATTCATAAAGTTTTATTGTCATATAGGAAAGCCCATTTGTTTCCATATTGTTAGCTGCTTTCATGCTACAATGACAGAGTTAATAAATGGGACCAAGACTATATGACCTGTAAAGACAAGATATTTATCTCTTCCCCTTTCTAGAAAAAATTTGCTGTCTGCTGGCTTAAAGCAATTCTATCTTCCTTTTCTACCAAGGCCTCCCTAAGGCTGGCAGAACCTCTATTCTTCTCAGACATGCCCAGTTCTGAATGTTCTGTTGTGTTTGCTCCTGAATGCATTAACATTGTAGTATGTCAACTAGGATTGCCCCGGACTGTCCCTCACACCTAGTACAGTTAGAACCTTTCCTAGTCCAGATCTGTGGATTTATAATTTGGAGACTAGTGTCACTACAGTTCCTTGGCTCCTTTCCTTGACTCTGCAGCACTATATCTTTAATTGGCAGAGCACACTAAACAATGTTCTTTTTCGTGTCTATCCTAAACATCTTTGTCTTAAAAAAGAAAAAATACAAATTAAAATATTTATAAAGTTATAGCTGTGACAAATATTAGATTAAATTAGTTCAAGTTTTGGGACACACTTAGGAACTTGGCTAACCTAAGGTATCCCTGACTGCTCCTAAGGTGTGAATCCCCCAGTATCATAACCAAGATGCAGATTGTGGTAAAAATCCAAAATGATCTTGAAAGAAAAATAGGCTCATCTTCTCTACTCCCTTGCTAGACTGACAAAGTTGTCCATACTAAAAACAGAATTGGGAGGGGTCAAAGAGGTGAAATGGGCCTGCCCATCTGTGCTTCCTAGGATGCTGTTCACCCAGTGGGGACAGGGTGGAGAAGACAAATCACACAGGATCCTTGTTCATCCTGGCTTTATCAGATCTTCGTGATGATAGTTAACCATGTTCAGGGAGTGGATTTCCAAACTAGGTCTCCCATTCTCACCTTCCATTTGAAAAGTTTTTAAGTCTGTGAAAATATGTTTGGTAGCAGAATTTTTTATTTCAGCATTCTTAAGTACAATTAGTAACTTTGCAAGCCAGACGGTAGGGCTGAAATTCCATGGGGTGGGGTAGGGTGGGGAAGACAAACATCATTGGAAAAAATAGAAGACTCCAACTTTATAAAACTTTGATTCTAGTGAGGGATGTTGAGAGGCAGGAACACATAATTGCTCTCACCCTTGTGTGGTTCTTTGTTTTTATTATTATTATTTGTTTGCTTTGTTTTATTTTATTTTCAACATGAGACTTGGGAATGGGTCTGTTGGGGTTAAGGTCAGGTCCTCCCCTCCCATGTATTTTGTGGGGGGCCCCCTCCCCCCCCAAGCATTTGCTTGCATCCCGACACATTCTCTTCATCAGCATGTCGGGATGACTCATCCTCTCAGGCACAGCAAGCAGAAACAGGCAGCATGCCCATTGCTTGTTTATTCCTTGTTTTAATTTTCATTATTACGTTTCTCAGGAAATGCACGCTTTAGCTAACAGTTACTGGCAAAAAAGGTATTTGAGTTCTCGCCAACATTTGGGGAAGCTGAATGAGATGCCTAGAGGAGGGTTGGCCCATCCTTTGCTTAAAGTTTTCTTTCCTTTTTTTCTTTTTTGTTTTTTTCTGTCCTTTAGCCCATGAAGAGCATCATGCTTTTGAAGGTGGACGTGGAAAACACTAATTGCACTCTGTAAAGAATTCTTTGTCCTTTGCTGATTGGTTTTGGAAACGGTCTTAACAGGAGGGAGAGTGAAGAGAAGACTTGCCGAAGCCCGATGCTGGTCAATTTAGAGTGGGTTTCTATCCTTGCAGATTGGGCAATTAGGACTCAAAGTGGCAGGTGGGGTGGGGAGCTGGTGTGGGTTTCTACCATCGCATTACTTGCTTTTTTTTTTTTTTTTAAAGAAAAGCATTTTTTGGCTTTCTAAGTTTTCTGTTTTATTTTTTTACTCCAAAACTTTTTTTTGCCCTTTAAAATTCCTTATTCAGACTAATTATTGTTTTCTACACTCCCCTGTCATTGAAACCCTCAAGAAATGGGTTTCCCTTTAAGTAGCTGTGTACCTAGTTAATGAGACTATGCCTAACCATGACAATACCGCTTTTGAAAATCACACTTCACCAGGAGGAACACTAGCTTGGTGAAACCTGTCTCCTCATTACTTGTTGTGACACTTTGCTGTATACTATGAGCCAGGCATTGTTTTTTTCTGTCCCTGGGAAACGAAAAACCATACTTACTGTGATTTCGCACTGACAGCACACATATTGTTTATTTTTCCTTTTTAAACTTTTTTTTTTTAGCAATAAAAAGAAATTAATAGTTGGCTTGCCTATCATGAAAACTATAATCACAGTTGAGTATCAAGATATACATCCAGTTTGAAGTCTTTGGACCTTCTGTGGAAATATTTCTAATCGGAATTTGAATTCAGCCTTTTCAGCAGAAAATTTAGAGAGGAAACAAGAGATTTCTCCCAGTGGGAAACCTGATATTTCTGATTTAAAGAGGAGATAATAGTTTAGTTGTTTAAATGAAACTTCTCCTCCGAAGTTTGGGTGTGTTTACCCACTTAAGTGCTTTCGAAATTGATTTTAACACATCCTGTTAAGTGATCTCCTTTTTCTGCTCCCATTATGTGTCATTTCTAATAATCAATAGCCCTTCAGCCTGGGCAACTGTCCCCTCCCTTTTTCTTTTAAATTCCTGGAATTTAAATCTCATTTCCAGGATGAACGTAAATATTCACCAAGCTGAACTCTGAATATAGTCTGTGTATATTAATTATTGGAATTGTTGCGATCTATTGTATTATTCTACCAAAGAAATACTGGTTTTAGTAGAAGGATGTGGCTATCCTCTGGAGCATTGAGACTCTCAAGGTGCACCAATTCCCCCCTGATGACTTGGCCAAGCCTCTGGCTGCTTACACTTGAAAAAGGACAGGAAGGGTTATTGAAGATGCTTCCTTCTGAGCCTTGTTTTTGGAGTCAAGAGAGCTAGGATGTGTTTGTATGTTTCTCGAAAGCGTGGTGTAGTCAGAAGATCTTTGTATCCAGGATTTTTAATTCCTCTGGCAGTGTGGACCAGCAGAGAGAGCTGAGGCTACTTCAAGCCTCCAACATGTGTTTGTAAATAAAATTGTCCACTCAAACATTTTCAAGGACTTTCAACACCATCTTTTATGCCCTTCACTTGCATCTCTAACCACATCAGCTGTAATATGACTCATCATAAAGATGTTTTTTTTTCTGAACGTGAGTTTCTTTGTGATTTCAAAATGACGTAAAAGGATATCAGGTCCACTTATCAAAAGCTGGGGACTTGTTTCTCTAAAAACTGTACTAATATTCAACTTGTTTTAAAACTATTCCTCAAAGATTAAAAGAAAAAAATTCTGGACATAAATTAAAATTCTTTTCTATAATATAAGTATTTTTCTGCTAGCTTAGAAAAAAGGATATAATTGACTTCAGATAATTGTCATATCTATTTCCATAAGTAAAAGGATTTTGAAGTATTTTTATTTTTGAGCTTTATTTAAAGCATTTGTGATGACATGTTCAACTTTTGCATGTATGTAGCCTTTGAAGTAAAAATAAAATAAAATACATAGGAATGTTAGGCTCACATGAATGCTTTGTAATTTCTGTTGTTTATAGTATGGAACATGACTAGCGCACAAACTAGATTTTTGTCCCAGTGAACTTCTGTAACTATTTCCGACCCTTCGGAAAACACCAGCTGTGAGAAGGATTTAATTTGCCTAATGTTAAGAACCTATCATCTAAATTACTTTAAGAGAGGATTTTGTCAGATTTTGTTTTGGAAATTGTTTTAATTGAATATTTAGTCATAATAGACTTTGTATGAACTAAGCTGATTTAATCAGTTTAAAAACCTCTCATTACCTTCTTAGATTAAAGAAGCTAATACTCTTTTGAGATAGAAGGAAATATTTTGCAGGGCATGTGACTTTGGTGTTAGGGCAGTGTACCCATCTTGGCCAGCGCTGGAGAGAGAGCATCAACTTTTCAGCAGAATCCTGTTTTTTTTCGGCCAAGTCTTTGCAGGTGCAGCCTTGTACTCTCCTCAAAGAGCCACACAGAAGCCAAAAAGCTCACTTTCTTGTCTTTGTGATGATGCCTCAGGGTCTGTGACACACCGCCAGGAAATCTGATCGAAACTAATATGTGTTTTTCTTCTCCCACTATTCCCTAGATTGTCCTATCTGAGGCACTTACATTGGGAAAGTCACACTTGTTAAATAAGGAGGCGTAACACCCACTTACACTAGCATGGTTGTATTTTGATGATCTTTTGTAAGCACATTCTCAAGTGTGCACTTACTCAATTGTACGATTTTAGCCCCCCTCCTCTAAGCTTTTCCCCATTTCTGAAATGAGAGTCTCATTGACAGTGAACATTCATGTTATTCAATTCACCGTACACCATTCACTGTACCCTTGATGGAGAAAAACATGAAAAGGAAAACACAACTCCAGTAAAATTGTATTAAGGTGGAGTCTCTTCACCCCTCTTCTTGAATCTAGCTCACGTCTTCATCACACAGTCACTCGACTTTATACTTGGTAGGAACTTTAGCTGTGAGTCCAGTAGACACCGTATGCAGTATACTGAGCCTTGATCAGACTCACCCTTTCTGAAAGGACTTGGGCCTAGCAAACCACAGTGCTGGCAGTGAGGTCTGCAAGCTGCATCCGGGTGTAGCTTCCCTACTGGGAGTATACTTCGAATCTGTCCGCCCCGCCTCACCCAGACACCCTGATCAGGCACTAAATATTTGGCCTCTGATACGACTGCATAATCAGATGTCCTCTTTGTAAACAGGATCTCATTATCTCCTCCCCACGCTCAGTGGCTGAAGTGGCCATAGGGTTCAGCATTAGAAAGTTACCTTTCTAGAGCCAGGGGTGAACTTTTGCCGTGAGACCTAGCTCTCTCTACTCAGAGTATCCCAAACTCTCCCTCTTACACAAAACTGTCAAGTTTGGAACGATCACATGGTGGCGCTGCTGTCCAGGCAACCAGCCTGGCTCAGCCACAGAATTCATCCAGCATGTTTGTGGGATTATTTTCAGATCCTACTGCATTTCACTCTCATGCTTTTATGCGAATTTGGTTAGAAAATAATAAAAGATACTGAGCGATAAGATAGATCGCTCTCACACACCTGATACAAATGTGTTAAAGATAGGACTCATTAGCCATCCTGGAACAAATCTTAAATCTCAGGCTCTACTGGGCTTACCAGCAGTTGTGAAGAGAAAAATAAGACTAACATATAGAAAATATTTGACCAAATAAAGTGCCCAGAGGGAAAAGAATAGGATTTGATTGTTTTTCCTTTTAGCTTTCTGAATATGGAAACTCCCTTTAAAAATGTAAGTCTACTCTTCATCTTTTTAATATTATATTTCTGTAAGATTTTTACTTGTTACAAATGGAAGTAGAGGACTGCCTGTATATTGATTATTTCTCCGAATAGTATTTTGAGACCAACTAAAATTACTCACGAGTTTGGGGACTCACAATTCTAAAATCCTAGATAAGTATCTCAACAGCCAGAAGGAGTCAGAGGGAGATGAGGACAGAGGCAGGAACCAAGAGGCAGAGAACCGTCCTTTGACCCTGTGCTGTGTATCCATTTGAGGGGGTTCTCCTCTGAGCTGCCAAGAAGGAAGAAGCCTACCTAGAGCCCTTACATATCTGATTATACCATTCTGGTCTGTTTCCTGCTTTTTCTTTTTTTATGAGATGGAGAGGGAAAGGAAAAGAGGAAGGAAAGGAAAGAGAAATAAAAAGGAAAAGGGAGAGGAAGAGGGAGGAGGAAGAGAGAGAAAGAGGTAGACATTTTTGAAAGGGTCTCCACTTGAGATCCCCCTGCCCTGACTTCCCAGTTAGCCAGGGCCATCATGACCAGCCTGTTCAGTTTGTCCAAGATCCAAACCCAGGCCCCAAATTCACAGAGCAGTACCCTACCTCTGTTCCAGTACAGCTGGACCATCTCTTGTTTCTCTCTATATATCATAACCTAAGAACATTTCTTCTTTAGGTTCATCGAAGCTGAAAGTCCCCAGCTTGTGTTGCAGAGATTTTTTTTATGCTGCTGCCATGACTCTGTTTGTAAAATAAAATTCAAACACTCTTAGACTTTTAGAGTGGAAGGGACCTTTGAGATCATCCACCAGTGCTTCTCACCCCATAGCCTGCAGGAGACTGACTGAGGTGCTCCCTTATGCAGACTCCTCTACCCAGCTCCAGAGGTCTGCAAGGCCTAGTTACTTGCATTGTTAGCAAGTTGCTCTGACATTCTAAGGCAGGTGGTCCTCAGACCTCACTTCAAGGACCTCTTATTTTCTCCAACCCTCGTATATGACACATGAGGAAAAGACCCTGCCCCTAAGCTCATTCAGATGACCTGACCTGACTATGTCATACCAACAATGAAGGCTGGAGAAACCCATGGTTGCTAAGGGTCCTCTGGATGAAGCTCGCACATAAGAACATTATAGCTAGGACCCCGGCAGTCACAGGTAACCCATCTCTGGAAGTCCATAATGGGAAACCTTTAATACAGAATGGTGGCTTTTCTCTTTTCTAAATACCATTTCTGCCCGTTAAGAGAAAAGAAATTAATGTTCAGAAAAGTAGTTACTCCATATGTGCAGTAAGTACTTTTCTATAATGTCTTATGGCATCTGGGGTTCAGCATCATTGAGCAAGATTAAGTGAATGTTACAGAGCTATAAAATTGCATGTAAAATAACGCAAAACTGTTCCAATGACTATCAGAGTAGCCTGGGAATGAATTTCCACTAAAATTAATTGTCACTTTCTAAACGTAGCTTAGCAAAGCTGTTACTAAACTGGAGGGAATCTTTAATGCATAGAAGTGTCAGAAAAATCAAATAAGTATTCCCCAAACTATGTGAATGATAAGTAGAACTCATTGTGAAGTCAATATTTTTTTGTTCATCATTGCTACCAAGATTTAGAGTTCCATTGTATATGTGTGTGTTGAATGTACCGTACTAGAATATCCAATAGAATAGCCTTTGGATATTCTAAGCTCTTGTCTCCTTCAGAAACCATGAGATTGAAGGAATCTGTGTTAAATGTTTTTGTTTTGCTTGCTGCCTGAAGAAAGTTGTCAACTCCTTTAATGAAATGCAAGATTTCTTTATAAGAATGTCAACTTCTAATATTGACATCAGGAAGGTTTTTTTTTTTTAAGTGTTTATTTTGGATTTATTAAACCGACAACTTTGTGTTATAGACATGAGATGGAGTATAATGAGTGTTCCTGAGTATATTTTCAAATAGAAAATTAAATGTACCTCTTGTCTTCTCACATACAAAGAAGCACCTTTTAATGAAGGCTCGAAGAGGTGAAAATTTTAGTTGTAACACTTTATAGGATGGATGAGGAATATTAAAGGACTTTGAGCATTTTATTAAATGTTTAGGGCTCTGTTTTCCAATAGAACTACACATTTTGTGAGCATACATTAAATCCTCTCTAAATTTCTTAGACCTTAACCAGGTAATGTGGCATACCACCACTATAATTAAAACAAAACAAAACAAAACAAAAACCAAACTAATACTATCTTCTCAATACTCTTTTAATAAGTCACATGAATCCTCTTGAAAGATTTTGTTTCCTTTAAATTATTCTACAAAAGATTTTCAAAATATAAACTGTGGAGTACACTTCAGTTTAAGATACCGAGTACCATTTGTCCCAAATTCAAAATCTTATCGGTTGCATTGAAAGTTACTCATTCTTTAGAACGCGTTACCTGTGTAAGTTGAACCAGGTTTATTTGCCTTATGTTTTGAGTCTGCTGGTGCCCCCCCCGCCCCATTTTATACCATCTGTGCCCCGTGCATTTGGGGACCCTTTCACATCTGGCTCCAAGCTGGTGTAATGCCCTTCCTTTTGATCTGGCTTCATCTAGTGATTTGCTCAGTATTTTTAAGGTCAGACTGAAAACTTTTCTGTACTAGTTATTTTTGATTTTATATTGTGCGTTGTGTTTGATGTTCAGCTACATGTGAAAGTTGCTTCTATAAGACAGTAATTTTTATTCCAGCCTTTTGCAGCAATAAGGTAAGACTAGACTGTCCCTTTCCTCCCTTGAACATGCAGTGATTTATGAGTTCGGTG